ACACGCTGTCACACACACACTCACTGTCACACACACGCTCACTGTCACGCACACTCACACTGTGACACACACGCTGTCACACACACACTCACATACACTATCTCAAAGACACACACTCACACATGCACAGACTCTTACACATCTCACACACACTCTCACAGAGACACACACACACTCACATACACTATCTCAAAGACACACACTCACACATGCACAGACTCTTACACATCTCACACACACTCTCACAGAGACACACACACACTCACTATCACACATACATACGGACACACTCTCAGACACACACAGCAGATAAAGGCATACAAATACAGTGAAGAAACATTCTCTCTCTCTCTCTCTCTCTCTCTCTCTCTCACACACACACACTCACACACACACACACACAGAAAAAAGCAATTTCCCACTTCCCATGTTTTTAATCAATCCACAGGAACACCTCTTCGTTTTTTCAGCTCTGCCCCGGAAGGAGCAGCAGAGACGTGAACAGAATGACTCCCGAACTGCTCTGCACCCCCCTCCCCCTTCCTGGAGGTCTCCTCTCTCACACATACAGCCAGTGAAGCCTCTCTTTACTGCTATCTGGCCTGATAAAGGCACGGCGTCAAAACTGAAAATGATCAAGTCGTTTTAAAAGCTGGCTGCCCCTGCAGATTGAGGGCAAGATGGAAAATGAATGATTTTAACTCAGTCTCCCTGGCCCCCTCCCCAATACTGCGAGGGGCTTGGTGGTATAGGAGTAGGACACAGGGTTTGGTACCTGTGTCATCCGTCTGCTTCAGGACTCTCTGTTGGTCAGTCTGACGGGCTGGGATGTTAACCTGAAGCTCAAGACGTGGGTGTTTCTGAGATGCTTCCGGCATCTTGATATTGTTCCGGTTCTCATTCCACCCCCCCGACAGGTTTCCTCCTGTTCTGGTCCAGCTCGCTCCATGTATTTTTCCATAGACGTCGTCAGAACAGGAGGGATCCGTCCCACCCGCTGACCACAGAGGCTTTAATCTGCTCTTCAAAGAACGAGGAAAAAAAATGTTTTCTAGGCTTTGCCGGTGAGTAACGGTCGGATTGGTCCCATGCAGGTTTGGACCTCCAGCCCGGGTGCTGTGAGAGGTAGCAGCAGAGAGCACAGACCATCCGGACGATTCTGACTTAAAGGGTAATCCGCAGGGTCTTACGCATCCTGCGGGTATGAATCCTCATCCATGCCACCCACACCAGCGATCCATCATGATCTGGAGACAATGGACCGACATTGCCGGGCATCTGCTGCCCTGTCTTGTGATCGATGTAACCTGGATGAAAGGGGCGTGTACAGGGGTGGGGGTCATAGGGGCACTGGCCTCAGCTGAAAGCTGATTGGCCTCCGGAGTGCCTCCTCCCCTGTCACTCACCAGTTCAAAACATATCATTGGCTAATGATACGGTTGGACTTTCTGTATGAATTACGGCCCCTTTCATGCGCCACGCCTTAAAAAATCCCAGCATTGCCCATGCTGGACGATCTGCTCCAGGCTAGTAAACATCAAGCTTCTACCCTTCATCCACATTGCAGCAGTTCAAACATCAAGGCGCCACCCCCGGCTTCGGTCTTGGGCGTGGTTGGCCAGATTGGTGCAGCCCCGAGGAGCTTAGCCCCGCCTGCTTGGATGCAGCCGCCATCAGAGTGACATGGAGACAGGGACATGATTAACATTTCATGGAGAGGGGAAAAAAAGGTGGAGGGTGTCTGACATCTGCACTGGATGGGGGGGAGGATTCTGAAGCGCTCGCAGCTATTTTTAGAGCACACTCGCATGCGCCAGAATAAGTCTCACAGGGATTTCAGTGGACTGAGAATTTGATTAAAACAAAGCAAGCCGCCTTTTCGAGAAGCCTCAGCTCCTCCTCCCCCTGCCCCTCCCTTACTTTCTCCCTCCCTCCCTCCCTCCTTCTCTCCCTTCCTCTCTTCCCCTGTTATGTTTGCTTGCCAGGTGCTTTCTTGCAACACTGCAGATTTTTTGTCTACTTCAGGACTGATGGTACAGCATATAGGTATCCCTCTCTCTCCCTCTCCCCCCGTCTCTCGGCAGCTTGTTAGCTCCTGGTTGCGGTTTTGCTGCAGAAGGACACTTGAAGGTCAGCCTGGACCTGCCTGTGGGTGGGCGGGGCTTATCCGGCAGACTGGCTTGCGCGTTTCACTTGCATAAGTGTCCCCCCCCCCCAGCTCATGGATCAGCAGGGGGACCCAGACATGTTTCACACAACCGCATGTAGAGGAAGCACCCAGCATGGACCTGGATCCACCCTCACCTGATCACCTGATCGTAAACACCAGCCTACCAGTTTGTTTCAGGAATGGTGGAAAACTGGGCACCAGTACAGGGAGAAGGGAGGACTTGGAGTCTTGGGAGATACCATGCTTTAGAGATTGGTGGAATCTCTGTGTGATGGGTTCTGGTTCTGCTGGGTCACTGTATTGACCCTGGTAGTGGGTGGCATTTTGGGTCCTGAAGTCCCATCTCTCCTAAAACACACTGAACCACACGTGATTAGCTCAGTCTGTTCAACACAAATCGGATGAAGCGCATCATAGAGGCTGATGCATCAGCCCGACCTCAAGGTGAATGCCATCCCCAATCTTGATAGTTTTTTCACCTAAACGCCTCGTGTTGGGGGTACCAAACTCCACACGAATGGGGCCGGGGGCGCCGTAAAAGGTGGGGGGGGGGGGGGAGTCAGATGGATTCGAAAGGCCCCTTAGTGACAGAGAACATAATTTGGAGCATAATTGGACTGGTCTGGGTTGGGGGCCCAATATGAAATGCTTTCATGGGGCTCAAAATCTGTAGCGGTGCCTGACTGGGTCCTCATTTAGATCAGGCACTTACAGAGACAACTGAGGACTGCTCACTTTTGTCGGCCTATGTCTGCCAGGTTGAGCAGATCAGACTTTACTCGGGCTGGATACCCAGGTTTTCCTACGTCAGACGTGTCCCACTGTCATCGTTTGAGTCACGCCACATACCCTGGACGTGGTGTAGAAGGTCAGAGAACACGCCATTGACGCAGGCGTGTGTATCTCTGCCAAATCTCTTTATAATTACCCCAAGAGGAGCGATCTGCCTGAGTGGATCCTTACGCATCCCGGAGCTCTGATCTGATCCGTCTGTCGGAGCGTCACTGAGCCAAAAGGCTCCAGTTTCAAACAGTTTTTTTTTCCCTTTTCAATATTACTGTTTCCCCAAGTTTGCCTGGCAACAGCGCCGGTGAACTATTCCGGGAGTTTGGGTTAAAGCTACGGGTCTCCTGTTCACAGCCGGCGTGTGGTGTTGGTGTAACGGCAAAAATGAGAGGGTCAGAGAGAGAGAGAGAAAAAGCGAGAGAGAGAGAGAGAGAGGGAGAGGGAGAGGGAGAACGTATACTGGTGGCGCAATGAGAGTGCAGTGACGTACTTCCCACCTGTGATTCGCAGCCAGTGTGCTTGGTCGTCTCCCCCCCCTCCCCCCCGAGGTGTTGTGCTGTCACACCATAACGCCTCAGATTCCAGCGAGTTGGAATTTACTCTCAGAGACAAAGCCGCAGGGAAATTAAATAATTCATTTAGGATTTAGGATCCTGTGTCTTATGAAAGCCCTCCACCCCCCCTCTTCAAACACCCCCCGACATTTGCCTCAGCCTCAGTCAGGAGTCCAAATTGCTGTGTGGTGCCTCAAAACCCCACAAATGAGGCCGTGGAGACTGTAGCCTGCTCGCCTTGCCATTCCTGTATTTTTTCTGCCTTAAGTGCATCGTTGGCCAGGCCTCATGGCACTAAAGGTAATGTGTGCGAGATGGACAGCATCACCTGTTTCCATCATGTGACGCCATCTCCACAGCCCCTGTGTCCAGCCAGAGTGAGTCACTCACTCAGCCATTTGTCCAATTCAAGCGGATAAATGGATATTTACTGGGGTTAATCGATCCACGGAATCCCCCTCCCTCACCCAGACTTAGATTAAGAATTCGGGTCTGTTCTGGATTGCACTCTTACCACTTCTGGAAGCAGCTTGGTGGACAGGTCATGAATGGCTTTTCCCATAATGCATATGGAGGACAGGATGAAGACGACGCCCAGGATTGCACAGGCCCTACAAAAAAACGGTAATGCATAGAAAACTCAGGGAAACATCAACATAAGAATGCTGCTACATCTGCCTTGTGAGGGGCAGCAAGGTGACTTGGTGGGTGACATCAACGCATCACGATTGAGATCTGGCCCAGCGGGAGGCAGCAGAGAGCCTGTGGTGACATTCAAGTGAGTCAGTTTTCTGAGCGTGACTGTGTGTGCGTGACTGATGCCCCTTCCCCAGAGCACCCCAGTTCACTACAGGCCCCATTGCGCCAGTGGGTGCACACTGCCCATGTTTGGGTGTGCTGATTTGGGCAGAGCAAAAGCTGATGCTGAGCCCCGCCCTCCCAGTAGCAGTGCTGGGGTGTGATAGGCCAACCGCCTTCTGGTGCTCACAGAGCAGCCCATCAGAAGGTGAGTTGATGCTGAACCCCGCCCTCCCAACGGCGGTGCTGCTGTGTAATAGGCTGACTGCCCTCTGGTGCTCACAGAGCAGCCCATCAGAAGGTGAGTTGATGCTGAACCCCGCCCTCCCAGCGGCGCTGCTGCTGTGTGATAAGCCGACCACCTTCAGTTGCTCACAGATAACAACCTGACACAGGGTCTGGCAAGTGGATGCCTGTTTTTCTTAATGAAATCCATAGGCCAGCTCCCTGCATAGCTTACCTACCCCTCTCCACCACAGACATAAAAACAAACAAACAAGCTTGTTTGAAGCACTGGGGTGCAGAAAGAGCTTTCATCATCTCATATTACACATTCCAGGTCCAAAACTTAGATTTTAATTAGACTCTGGGCTCTACAGGCTTGAGATATTCCATTAGGGTGTTAATATGCTGTGTGTGTGTGTGTGTGTGTGTGTGTGTGTGTGTTTGTATACAGATACCACCTTTCAGAGCACTGTGAATTTTGACCTTTGATCCTGTAGCTCATGCATGCCTACTTATCAGCACGATGTTGGGGCACCCAACATTTTTCAGCAATGTGCCGTTTGAAAACTACTAGCTAAAGAAGAAAGAAGAGGAAGCATGGAAGGTGAAGTCAGCCTCGTCTCAGCTGAGCTCTCGGTGGATATGCGTTCTGACATGAGCCCAAGAGTTTTATGATAAATTTGCTCATGCCTGGCTGCAGATCCTGATCTCAGAGGACCTGATGTGTCAGTAAGGGGTGTCTGCAAGCAGGGAGGGTCTCCTTACCTGGCTCAGTACATTTTAGCGAAGCAACTTATTTTTTTACAACTTTTTACATCAAGCAAACTCTGAGTTTTGAGTTTTGCCCTCTGGGGCCATGCTAAAGCTGCATTTGATGTTCCGTCTCAGTGGAAACACTCACATTCCGGCTGCAGACAGCACCACACATAGAGGGCGATATGCCACAAGGGAACAGCTCATCACACGCGTGACACACCTACTGGGGGATTGTTGTTTCTGGGGCTCCATTCATGAAGTCTCTTAGGGGCCCCCCAACTCCCAAATTAAGTGACTCTTTGTAGCTAACAGGGGGCCTCGCGCAGATTTGTGGTTTGAGTGACAGTGAACAGCGCACTGCACAGGTAGTGTCAACACTAAACATTACATACATGTTACACTCAGAGCACACATAGAGTATCAAATACTCTATGTTAACCAGATAACTGGTTAACGGATAGGAAGCAGCGAGTGGTTATA